GGTTTAAATGATAAGAAAGGGAGAGGAGGAATGAAGCATGGAAGTGCTCGCAGGTGGAAACCCTCTGTTCCGTAATGAAGCATAGCTGGGCTCTTCAAACAGGTGTGTGCTTGCTCCGGGGGAGGGACCTTACCGACTTCTGCTGGGCATCGTCCTTCCCCGTGGGAGCAGGGATGGTTTCCGAGTAACAAAATGCTGCCTGGGAATTTTTGTTGGCATGTCTTTGGTCCTCTGGAATATAGGTGCGTTCCTGTGGAGGCATCCAAAGACACTCAGATCTGTTGCCTGTGTACTGGGGGAAGACCACAGACCCTTTCCCAAGCTGTCCTGAACGGTTAGTCTTTGCAAGAAATACGGGTGAGACATAGGGTGTCTGTACAGGGTTGGCGGGAGAGCAGGGGAGGCAGGCCCCCTGAGGAGGGGCCTGTGCAGGATCAGAGGTGTAGGCAGAGAGCTGAGAGGAGACAGGCTCCAGGCTGATGGGACATAACTTGTCCTATTCAGACCCTTCCTGCTCGCTGAGGGCGGACAGAGAAGACACCAACAGCTGGCAAGTCTCCCTTCCTAGGAAGTTAGAGAGTCCTGAAACGGTCAAGCTAATGCAGAGGACGTGCTGGGGGCCACAACACTTACGAACTCCTTGTATGTCTCGGCGGCCAGGAGGTGAAGGTGCTGAGCCCTCAGCACGGCGTTGGCAAACAGGTTGGAAAGGGGCATGGCCGGGAAGGTGGCAGCTTCCTGCGGCCACTGCAGGCCCAGGGCGATGACAGCAACCAAGAGAGGAGAAAACCACAACCCTGCAGCAAAGCGGAGAGGAAGGGTGTTGGCAGTCCCTTGGTGGCCGTGCTGAGGAATGGGTTGGCACCTGGGAATTAATTCCCAGCCTCTTGTGTGCGTGCTGGCTGAGGGCTCCCCTTCCTCAGTGTCTTGTTGGACTGGGCGTGAGCTTAGCCCTCTCCTGAATCAAATGAAGCCCTGTCCCCTTCCGCTAGACGTGCCCTCGAGGCATGTGCGGCTCCCAGCGCTGCAAGCAGCGTCTTCCCGGCTGAAGAGTCAGTGTTCCGCCATGAAAACCTGAGTGTGTCCCCATGCTTTTCCCTGACACGCTCGTGTTTCTCTGAAGGCCCTGCCCTGTCGAGGAGAGCACAGCGCACTCTTCACTGCCCGAGCGAGCAGGGCATGGCGAGTACCAGCTGAGGGCCCGGGCGTTCCCCACTTCAGCCTGGGTTTACGCCATGCTGCCAACGGGAAACCGGCCGTCCGCCTTCCCCAGGAGGAGAGCTGGTGACGTTACCTGTGCTGTGACCAGCTACGTTTTCTCTCTGGGACACACCTGTAGAATATGGTGATCTTTGCCAAGCTAAAGGTTTTCAACCCGTGACATCTAACTCACACACGTGTCCACCTGTGCTTACAGAGACCACAGAGTTAATCTCGGGGACACACCCTCAGCGAGGAATGCCATGGAGCCTGTAGGACTTGAACACAGGCATTAGACATCATCCCGATACCCGTCTTAAGCTTTGAGCGTGAGTTTTGACGTCCCTGCCAGCAGAGATGTTACTGATAACTCCTGTAACTGTGGCTGGACCTTGTTCTTCATGTTCTCCACCATGTCCTTCCCAGGTGCAGGCTAACGATTCGTGACTTAGTCGCGCTGTAGGGAA